ATTTACTGAGTCATTAGGATAATTTGAAGCAGGAGTACATGAAAAATGAGCAAAGCCCTAGCCGGAACTCAAACCTGGACCTCTCAAATACGCGCCGAGTGTGCTACCGTTACACCACTAAGGCATGCTGGAAGGAGAAAGAAAATACCTCATATACTCCCCCTTTGAAAGGGCGACCGGAGATTAGGGGACCCATTCGCCAAATCCTGGTGGTGGTGAATTATTTTCCACTACCGGGCGATACTTGTTGAGTCATTATTATATTTTGAAGCAGGGGTGCATGAAAAATTAGCAGTGCCTTCGCCAGGACTCGAACTTGGACGCGGAAAACAATTGGCTTAGGTAGATCCAATCTTGCTGCTGTCTCCTTTATTTTCGTATTCTCGTTCCATAATTCCTCCAGAACACGAGTAATAGTTTCTGATATCAGTGACTATATGTAGTAAATCTTCTCTAGACTCATATTTACGTAGCCACAGCCATGCGAAATTGCTTTACCTTCTCTTTCACTGTATAACAGAAAGGCGACAAATCAGCATATACATTATCCAAGATTTGTTTTATTTATTTGGTATTAAAACCTTCTTCAGTCAACAATCTAATCATAGAAAGGTACCCAGTTTTAAAATTTCAAAACCAATTAACACATCACTTCATTCAGTAAACAGTCAGAAAAGAATGCATACACCAAAACTTACGAATTTATTCATTTAATATTGCCGCTACTAAATGTTTAAAAGAGGAATTTATTCGTAAATAATTTCCTGTATGTGAGGCCGGACGCTTTTCGATCAACCTATATATTTTATTTCTACTAATATAATCAACTAAGCATATAACTGGTAATCGACAGTTCTTTAACTTTCAGTTTCGCAACTAGGAAAAATACTAATGTACATGCGAATCATCACAGAACAATGTTTAAAATCAATGTGTTGTAAATCATATTTGGCAAAAGTTTTCATTTTCTTCTTTAAGGAATTCCCTAGTAAGCAAATTGCTACTGGTCGGCTAATTTTTGAGGAATTTGACCTTGAGGTGGTTGTGTCCCTCCCCTCGGAGTTTCCTTTCCTGTTTGGGGAAAGATTTACCCCTGAGAAATGACAATGAAACGGCGGTAAAACCCCTTCATATTCTTTGGTAAAACGACCCACAACATGATTAATGATGGCTGCTGATTAATGAAACATTCAACTGACTGGCAGATATTTTAGCTTATTTAAAGCTAAATATTTATTAATGCAATGAATATTAAAATACGACTGCAAAAATGTATTAAAGTACTTTCGCTACTGGCATAATCAGCACTATGTCAAAACTACGAATCTGCATTTTTCCCTTTTTTGCCTATCAATGGTGTTCATATTATTTTCCGATGTTTCACAGTTTCCTTAAAGAGAGATGCATATTAGAAGAATATTATTTAAGTGACATTATTCCTGTTTAACCAATCACATTCTGAAAAAAGTTTTAAAATACATTAATTTGAAAAAATAAAAAAGCTGTCTTGCCTCTTTGAAGACGATATGCAGTAAAGAGGACTGCTGATAAATTATTAAACGCTTCGAAGATAACTTCTTCGTATATTTCCTGTTTTCAGTTAGAAGATTTAGTGCCTTGTCAAAATAAAGCATTTCCATTTGAAGAAATTACTTGTTGCAAATCTTGCGCACAAGCGATTGAAGGAAATAAATGCATAGCTTCGTCTATAATTAAATAGTTTCTTTATTAAATAAATTAAGTTTTCACGTATTTACGATGAAATAATATGTTAATATATTTGTTCTCTCTCTCTCTCTCTCTCTCTATATATATATATATGAATAAATGCAAAGTAAAAAACACTTCAAATCTTAATTCATTTACGGGCTATAGCAGTAACAAATAGTTGCAATAATGCAAAATAAAATAAAATAAAATAAATGTTTAAAATTCATCCCATATTCAGTTTGGAATAAATTACATGCAAAAATGAAATTTACATCTTTCGTTGTATCGTTAACAGTAGGTTGGTGCAACAAAAGAAGTAAACATATAAGACAGCCTGTTTCTGAACCTACAAAGACGCAAATTAAAGTTTGAAATTAAAAATTATGAACATTATTCTAAGATTATTATTTTAAGATAATTTTTAGCACAAAAGAGCAATTTGCCCAAAAGAGCTATTAATTTCATTTTGGCTTTTTGCGTCGTCCACTTTAAAACGGCGTTTCACTTTTAAAATTGTTGCCACCGAATGTTAGAGCCCTGTACATTTAAAGAATCTGCATGAATGTATGTATGTTTCTCGCACTGCGAAAAAACAACGGTACCTAGATTTATCAAATTTTGAATAGGATAGTCCTCAACTCGAATATGGGCGCATCTGGAAGCCCAAATTTCTCAACGATTTCAAAACGAGCAATGGCAACATTATACGTAAACATTTTTAAACATTTCAAAACATTTTTAGCTCCAGTGCGCGAGACTGTGTATCGGAAATTCTAAATACATTCTCTCTTTAAATATTTTGTGATATTGCTGTTGAATTGAATTTTATGGTTTAAGTGTGAAGAACATGATATTTGGATAGCTTCAGAAGCAAGTCGATATTTCTTGAAGTGACCAACCTTTACACGTATTTTTCTCGAAACCTCAATTCTGAGGTTTCTGAGCAATGGTAGTTGCGATGCTGCACATTAAATTTCCGTTTGAACAAGGAAGGAGGTCTGATCAATTTATGTCACAATTCTGAATAATAAAATATAAGTACTTTTATAAATAAAAACCATGAATAGCTTTATAAATAACAAACGTAAATATTTTTATTTCATGGGCAAAAGTAATTTTTCCATCTGTCGGGAAGAAGAACACATTCATATTACTATCAAATGTATTATAAGAAAAGATCAGAAATCTAAAATGGAAATGTATTTTCAGTCTTTGATATTTTAGGAAGAAGCAGAAGGATTTTTATCTTCGGAGACTGAAAAATGTGATCAGATATTTCCTGCTACATAAATTATTTAGCATCTTTATTTGCATTCATATATTTCAGAATGTTTAACTAATATTATATCAAAATGGTTATGCTCTTGAAGCTAGTGAGTAATAATATCCACTATCTCACATAACTCGTTTAAAATGTTAGGAATGACATCAAGGAAAAAATATTTAAGCCAAGCCTTTAATTGAGTAAATAATTCTAAATAAAATAAGATAAATGAGATTAGTTTGAAATATAGTAATAATCAATTTCATTCTGAATCTACATAAAAGTAAAAATATCAATAATTTAATACCATAATGTACAGCAAATAATATACGGCAGTGAGAAACACACTGATTTGAAGTTTAAAACTTGGAAAAAATTTAATCTTAAAATCAAAGTTGCTTTCATAATGAATGATATGGCTATACATCGATATGATAATATCGTATCCTTTCGAGGGAAATGATATGGTGTTCCTCTTTTTCAGGAATCAACAATCTTGTGCCTTCATAATTTATGAGCACACGCTGAAACCTGTTTCCCTTTTCCTCGAAATACACAGAATTGTTCACTTAAATTTACATGGACCCCAACAAAATAATTAATACTGTAATTTATTCTGAACTACACTTATCTGCTCTTAATTATTTATTTGTAAATTTCCTTTTTAATATTTATATCATTAGGTCTTTTTCAGATAAATGTGCGAAGCCCTGATGCATAAAATGCAAAGAAATTATTTACGAACTTTAGCATGCGTAAATTGTTCATAGTCAAAATTTCTACTCATAATAATAATTCATGTGGGCGAAAGAAGAAATTAAATAAAATATTCGTAAACTAAGGTACTGATATAATTGAAAAACTGCGTATTTCATTAGCATCCTTTTATGAAAATTTTTAAATAAACAGATTAAATTTAAAATAATCAAAGTAATGTAACCAATCAAAATTTTATTTCCATTTTCGTCAATTTTTATGATTTTAAAATTACATTTGCATGTAGTTTACACTTATGTACTTCATATTTTCAGTTTTCTTTGCACTTGATACATATTTCCTCTTGAAAAGCTATAATGAATACACTTTTATCATGCACGTAATGCGATATTTATAGGTATTTACTTTTCAATTTGTCGTGATGTAAATTTTCAATTTATTACTTAAAAGCCTGGGAACAATATGATCAAAATGCCTTTAATGAGTGTTAAAGTATCACAGCTTACATTGGGGATACTTTAAGTATAGCAGAACACAGTGAGTTTTCTTTTCTCAAATAACTGTCATTATATTGAAAATTCTTATTTCAAATAACCTCAATAATAAATATAATGGAAAATATCTTGCTGTTTTCCTACTTTTTTTTATTTAAAAGGGGGTAAAGAAATTTTGAGATTTATATACTTCTTTCATTTATTGTAACAGATAATGTTAAAGTATTGTACTTTAAAGTTATTTAATGTATCGAAACACATTATTTGGGCTTTCATTCTGCTTTGAATAATTTGTTTTAATTTTTAATATTGCTGGTTTTTAATAAAAATGTAGTTCACATGTTTTATAACATTTTAAACATTCAGTACTTTCTAAAAGTTTTTATAATTGTTAAATAAATCCAAAACAAAATTTCCAGTTTCAGCAATAAGCGCGAAAAACTTCCATAGCAAGTAATTGATTTCTAAATTACAAAAATAATTTCCGCAGCAAGCAATTGATTTCTGAATTACAAGAAAAAAGCAGCCAAACCATGATATTATTACGAAATTTACTGGATGGATTATTTAATATGATAAGAACATTTGGGAGGAATAAAACAAAAGTGAAGATTTTATAAGAAAATTCATGTCTTGTCCATTACAGTATTATTCACACCACAAGCTAATATTCGCACTCATAACGATGAGATAGTTTTCATAATAAACAAAGATATTTTAAACCATAATTGTAAAAAAAAACTTACTTTAAACTTTCTAACACAAAAGGTAATCTTAAAGTTACTCTGTTATTTAATGTGCATGAAATTTCTCACCTGACTTGAAATCTTTTGTTGCCGTTGTCTGATAATCTTCAATTCTTCACTGAGGCGTCGAACTGTAGAAGCCTCTCGTTCTTGTCTTGCTTGGAGAGCGAATACCATTGACTCTAAGTTTTTCAACCGAAGCAAGTCATCTGTCTGTCTCATAACCTCATTCATCACTTCATACAAGACTTCTTCGACATCTTGGTGGCTTTCGCTTGGGGAATCCCTTACATCTCGATCGAGGAGCTTTTGCTCCAGAGCTTCAATGCGTTCCCTGTCTCTCCACTGCTCCCTCCGCAACATGGCCACCTGCTCGCGAAGGGGCTCTCGCGCCCCGCAGCTCAGAGTCATTGCCAAGAGAACCGTTACTACCCACATCACGGAACTGGAGAGGGAGTGCAGAATGGGCGTCGCATCCGTTGCTAGACAAGAGAGCAGGCAAGCGGAGAGGGTTGTCGTGCCCGGTGTTCTTTTCCACCGCCGTGCGCTTTGGAGTCTCGCTGAGGTTTGTTCGCAGCGTCCTCACTTCTCCAATTCTGCGTTGCTACTGATAAGAAGCGCGGACGAAGAAGGAATTAGGAGAATTGGTTTACGAAGGGGGGGGGATATGTTAATCCCTGTGGTCAATAGTGACCAAGTGGAATCATTTCACTAGTGCGTCTGATTAGATTTCTTAAATAAAGCATCCAAACAAGGAACTTAAAATTATGAGCAAGGTGATGTTTAACGCAGTAACTGTTCGCGTTTGTTCTTCTTTCATTCATTCGATTAGGAACTGTAAATCGAATAAATCGGTTTCCCGATTAATCGTAAAAAATATCCTAAAACTTTCACCGGTTATTTGGTAAAAATACATATTGATATGATCTGTACAAGTTTTCTTAACTCAGTCACCGATGCGTCTCGTAGCTCCGAAATGTCATATAACTTATTAAAACATTTTATGAAAGCATTAATTTAAATAAGTTATATGACATTGTGAGGTTCAATTATTATTAGCATGTTATCTTAATTGTTTTCACTTTTCTAGTTTTTACCTTCGTCCAGCATGCAGATTACTTTAAAATATAAATAGCGTCAAATTTCGAACTTCGTGAAAAAATGGCGGCGTTAGGCTGGCCGTTATTCTACTTTTGATTTCTGCGTTTAACTTGGCAGAAATATTTTGCTTGCTGTAAATTCCTCGCAGACATCAAGAAAAGCCAAGGTTTAGTTTGGGCCTTATTAATATTCTATATAACACGCATTCGTGTCGAAAGCTGTTATTTCTGTCCGTAAGAAAGCGGAGTTCTGTTCTTGTTAATTTAAAAGGTTGTGTAACTTTCAGATCACAGAGTTAAATAGTTTTATGTGCCTTTCATCTATGGCTGTGATACTTTTAGATAAGAACTCGGACTGAGGAAAATGCTGTTTAACAATCTCCTATGATTGTTAAGATTTGAATTGGTCTTTTGTAATAAACAGAGTAACTGGTTTTCAGTGAAAAAGTAATTTTCGGACATCCAAGTAAAATAAGCTCTGGCATTCGTTGTTTAAGTGAATTGAAGTATCATCAGGAAATTTAACGTTATCATTAATTTAATTTAATTTATTAATTCTCTATTTGCTACTTACCATTTAATATTAATTACTCATTAGCTATTGCTCTGGTAATTATTTTAATTATTTTTTTCATTTTTCAAATAGTATACCTCATTGATCCCGTCAATTCTGATTTTAGAAATTAAACGCTATTTACCCTGATATTCCTGCTTGGTGATTTAATAACTCAAATTACACTTTTACATAATGAAGAAAACAATGCTTTCAAGCATCTTACGAAATAAAAGTTGATTAGAATAGAAGAGAAACACGCCAATGTGACAGTCAAAACCGCAATAACAACCTTGTATTTAGCTTACATATGTATTAGCTACACTCAATTGATTTCGAGGGCAGCTAAAGGTGCCTCCTCATCAGGAGAATGAAATTACTAGAAAGGGGAAAATAGAAGAAAAGTAAAGCAGCGGCAAAGGAGTCTCAGAAACACGTGGTCGTTATCAGCACTAAGTTTATTAGTTATTCTGATGTTCTACAGTATGTATTCGATCCTGATCTAAAAAACTGAAATAAAGAAGATGAAACAATAAATTGAATGTATATATATATAAACACAAAAAATATTATGTTCTACCAATTCCGAAAATTTTCTTAGCCTACCATCCTCTTCTACTGCTATATTAGTTATGAAAAATTTATGTTTGTAGAATCAATAGGTTATATTGATTCAAGAACGTGCAGTATGTGCAACGCCTTCTCGGGGATTGAACTCCGGACCTCCCGAATGCATGTCGAGCGTGTTTCCAGTTACACCATGAAAGTATGCGTAAAGGCGAAAGAAATGTCTTACATATTTCCCTTTTTCAAGGGCGGGTGGAGATTAAGGGGCCCAATTACCGAGTCCTGGAGGTGATGAATTATCATCCACCACTTTTTAGTTCAGGCATTACTCATCGTTGAGTCTTTTAGAACTTTCCGAATCAAGAAAATAGAAAAAATCCGCACTGCCCTTCCCAGGATTCGAACAGTGGTCTTACGAGTACGCTTCGAGCGTGCACCCAGTTACACCACGAAGGCATGCGGAAAGAAAGGGGAAAATGCCTTATAAATCTCTACATATAATAAAATAAATAGTCTGTCTGTGTGTGTGTGTCTTTCGTTCGCGCTGCAATAGACCCACGAAATTTGGTACATAGGTGCATCTAGACAAGAGCCAGTGCACCTCGAAGCAATTTTTTCGAAATTCGAATTCGAATTTTTTTTATTTTTATGTTTGTGACGAAATCGCGTCATTTGAGACATAATGGGCTATAGGAAAAAGCGAGATTTTACTCTACACACTCCATTTTCACATCGTCATGAAACGTAGGAACTTAGCTATTTTACGAACTTAAAATAAATTTCGTGTTTCAATAAATCGATTCAATACGAATTTATTTAACAAAGTCAGCTTAACACCTTTTCAACGGGATTTTTTTCGAAAAAAGTTTATTTTTAAAAATGTACAATTTATTTTTCTTTGATTTTTGGACACGTTAAACTTTCATCCTTGCGACTGCTTTTACAGAAAGATTTTCGGAAAAATGATAATATTTTGTATTTTTTAAAAAAAAATTTAAATGAAGCTTCTCCCATCTCCCATCTCACATCTTTAAAAATGTGAGTTTGGCAACAATTTTTCTGTCTTGTTGTTGTTGATAGATTTTTGATGAAATTGCATCATTTTGAATAGTTTCATTCTTTTAGAAATATGGGTTTGGACACAATTTTTCATTGTATTTCTTTTCTTATGTCACTATTTTTAAGAGATTGGCATATTTCATTGTCATTTTTATATGTATATAATAAATTTGTATTGATTTTTTTGATAAAATTGTTCTGCAGAGTAAAATTTTGAGTGGAATTTTAGGTTTTTTGAGTTGCTTTCATGTTATTTTTTGCTTATTTCACTGTTTGTAACATATTGAAAAGTTTTGCATGATTTTTTTTTCTTCAACGGAAAGTTGGTTATTTTTTTTATTAAGATAATTAATATTTGTATTAAGGGATATAGCTTATTTCATTGTAATTTTTTTCTCTTGAAAATATAAGATAAAATATCATTAATTATATTATATTCTGCTTTTAAGAATTTTTGTTTTTTTTTGTATTCTTTTATGTTATGTATTGCTCATTTCATTGTTTTTAAGATACTTGAAAAGTTTTGAGTGATTTTTTAGGACAAGTGTTTTAGGACAAATTCAAATGGTATAAAGGAAGTTCTTAACCTCCTTTATACCATTTGAGTTCTTAAGATTTCGCAAAGGGAAGTTGGTTAGTTTATTTATTGGGATAATTAACATTTGTATTAAGAGATATTGCTTATTTCATTGTAATTTTGTTATACGTAATAACGTTTTTTTATGAAGTTGTTCTGCAGAGTAAAATTCTACGCAGTTTTTAAATTTAACGTTTTGTGTTACCTTCAGCCATTTTTCCGGTATATTTAAAAGCCAGTTTCCTAAAATGAACGGGTGTGTTTTTAGCAGACAGAAGTGAAAAATAATAACTGTCTTAAAATAAAATCTCATTTTCCTAGTCACCGGTAAAGTAATAAGTACGTAAGGATGGTCGAGGGGTAAAACCACAGAGAATTGGTCGTTCGAACCAACAGGCCCGAACGGCCAGACTGTATGATTGGTTTTTGTAGTTTTTCCCATGTGTAACGTGAATATGAGCCACTTTATCTTAGAAAGACCTACATGAGATTATCTCATCCTTAAAGCAGATAACCCTCGTGTGCTTTATCTTATTTAAGGTATCTGCCTACGTTAAAAAAACGATTTCGGCGAAAAAACTCGATTTTTTTATTGCCCAATTTGAAAGGTCAATTTTGTAGGATTCCGAAAATGGTTCATTTTTACGTTTGTGATAATTAGAAGAGAAGGTATAGCCAATTAACTGCACTGGAAGTGAAAGCAGAAAGACCGGAAGTGCCATTTAAAAGGCTCAACTTAAAGGTAAACAATTGTTGTTATCCGTGTTTTTTTTTTTTAACTGTTTGTGTGTAAAATTGTGCTAAAACATTTCATTTTAATTCTGGGTACTTTTTTTTTGTTTCTGGGCAAATTATTATTTGCCTTAATTCTTTGAACTGGGACTGGCAACATTGCGGTTTTCTTAACTGGGTCTGGCAACATTGCAATTAGGTATAAAGACTATTGTTGCTGGGTGCATATATAGCCGTTTTAATTTTTTTAATTCAGGGTATCTGGGATTACTTCCTGTGTTTTGAACATTTAGGCATATCAATTGACCAAGAAATGATTAAAAATTACTTTGGAATCGATAACGAAAGAATAAAGAACTCGAAAATTCATTCGTCGCTCATTTCGAAAATAGCCAGAAAAAAATTAAAACCAAATAGGAAATCAAAATTACTTAAGTATAAAGATATGGAGGGTGCGATGTACAAATGTGGAGAATTTTAAGTGTGTAAATACAACAGAACGGTTTTTCTGTTAATGTGAAATCTTTAAAATCTTAAATGCGTTTTCTGAAAAACTAATTTTTCTAGTGTTTTTTACATACAAGAAATGTAATTACTACTCAAAATGTTCTAAAGATATCTCTATTAAATTTCACTAAAATGTTTCTTATATTATTTATTAGGTTTTAAGGTTTTAAGCTACAATCTAAGTAATATTATTAATTTGATTGTTTTATAAGTATTTCTATAATAAAACGACAAGAAATATTTTACAAAAAACTGTGTTTTTTCATGTAATTACACATATTTTTAGTAAATTTTAGAAATATCATATACAATTTAGTTTTCATAACACAGATAAGTGTTGTAGTAGTATACAGTATAAAAAAAAAATTGAAATATATGCTGTGAGAAAAAATATACGGCATTTAACGTAAGTGTTAAATTTCTCCTAAAAATTTGCATAAAATTGCATATATTTCAAAAATTTATAAAAAATATTCCTAAAAATTTTACGTATTTTCA